AATAAAATTTATTTCTTATTTGGTTGACAAATCAAATCACAAATAAAATTTATTTAGGATTTGATGCAAATTTCAATTCAGAAATAAATTTGATTTATGGATTTGTGATTTGACTAAATCAAAATCACGCAACCCTGTTTGGAAGTAATGGTATAGAACTCTTGAAAGCCAATTATTTTCGATCGAAAAACTGTATTTATCTTCAGGAGACTTCCAGCAATAGATAGGACTCAATTGTTTATTTAGTATTCAAAAAACCTGAAAAATGCAATAGGCGATCCCATAAAAATTCGTTAGTATTAGAAATGGTAACATAAAAAATTGGGTGTTATCATTAGAAATCGCCTGCAGAGAAACAGAGTTTTCCAACCAAAAATATTGATTTTTAACAATTAGAGACCACTTCTGCGAAATATTGCTATTTTCACTTTATAGGATGTATGGAAAACTGTAAGCGCTTGAGCGACCTCTAAATATATTTTGATTTCGAAAAGAAACAGGGATATATTTATATCTAGAAGAATTCTAGAAGTATTATAATTCGGACTTAACTTTTTTCACATGTATTTTTAGACCACACTATTGTACATAAATATGTACACATAAGTCTGTGGTAAAATCAGATTGATGACTGTCACAATGCCCGTCAAACTTAAATGCCGGCGAGCCGTTGTAGAGGTTCGCGGTTCGAAGCCTGGACCTTCTTTAAAAACTATATTTTTTATATAATATATTTTTAATAATTGAAATTTTAAATTTAAGTTTTTATTTTATTTTATATTTTAAATAAATTTTAAGTCATAAATTTGTTTTAAATTTTTTAATTTGCCATATTTCTTACTATGTCACATTTTAATTTGGCGACATATCTTGACACTTCTTTCTTCTCCATACCCTTGCCAATAGTAGAATTGTCAAAAATTCGACGAATGGGCTATTTAGCTTTTTACATGCATATATTCGATATAGGTAAGGTTAGGATATCCGCCTTCATAAGTTCAGGCGTAGCAGTAAAATAACTATTTATGTTGCCATTAATGGGAGGAGCGGATGCAAGGGAATGCTTCGTTCTGTGGCGCAGATCAGATCTAGCGGACACCAACTTCCGGTATCAGAACTTAATTTTCTTGATTGGCCCTGTATCCACCTGGCCGAGTTTAAAAAAATCACTCCAGTTATATCTCTTTTGTGTCAAGTCCTTCCTTCCACACTTAGACGACACTAATAAAAAGCCCAGTTAACTATAATTCATATAAATTTAATCAAATAACAAATTTTCAAATTTTCAAATTTGAAAAATTCAATTTCAACGATTCAAAGAAAAAAGCCAAAGCTTCTGGTTGTTTTATTGAAATAAAAGGGGTTTAGGTAAAAGAAAATCCTTAAAATGTACCACATTCGGCGTCGCTGAACCATCAGTTTATTGTTTTAATGGACAACCAGTAAGAAAAAGACTGGCTTTCAATTACTAGTACTTACAGTCCCTTTCTGGTATGACGATCTCTTTTGGGTGACTTAAATATTCGGCATCACTTGTGCTGTTACGACCACACCGTAGTTCAGTAAGACACTTCTTTCTGTCTTTTTTCTGAGACTGTCCTTTTTCAATGGCTGTCGAAGGCACAAACTAACGGCCGGTTACTCAATCTCTGGTTACCACTAACTGCAAGTTAAACCTCGTTATCAACTAGCTGTTACATGTTATCAAATCGATCACGTCGATAAAAAATTTTAACATGCAGTTCGTGTTAACCAGATACTGAGTAACCGGTCCTAAATAACGTAGCTGGTAGGTTCCTTATTTCAGTGAAAGCTTAAATCGGCTTAAGCTTACATTTGAATGCGTAATTCTTATCATTGAATTATACAGCCATTTTAGTAAGGTTAAATGTTTGCTCAAAAATAATTGCAGCTGTTTAAGCCATCCAGAGAGAACATATCAATCCTGTATTAATCGTAAAATAACTGTAATTTAATTGCATTATAATTACAAGCCCAATGAGCAATGCCAGTAGAATTGCAGAAAGTTTGTATGGATATGTGTACAGATGTGTTGACAAGTTCACATGTATATTTTGACGAAAATGTGTTATATTCAGTGCGTATATGTGAATATTTGCTATATATAATCGAGACTTACATACATCAAAATATGCCAATAAATATATACTAGGTGCATTCTTTTGCAACCGAGACACAAAAGAACACTCGGTATAGTAGCGAAATACATGCAAAGCAACAACACAAACTTAGTTATTTATCCGAATTCAGGTCGATTGAAAAAATTCGCGACCTCAAGCGTAGTTTTGTTAAGCGAAACATGTTCCCTATTGTGTAATTGCTGACGAAAAAATGCTTGGGGAAATTTTTGTTTCCTTGCAGACATGATTAAAATAACTGTAAATGTTATGCAAATACCTCTCAATATTACTAAATTCCAATGTCTTTTGTCATAAATCCTATTAACCTAATCACATACATATTTCTTGCAAGACACCAACAGGGAATTGAGTGACCTTTGCCGCTTATTTACAAAGAAACGAAGCTAGTATGTGTGTAAATATTAGGGTATTCATTTATTTGCCGTTTTTTGAAAACCAGTATTCGTGTTATTCCAAAAAATGGCAATTGAAAAAGCCATCTCCCCATTTTCGAAAAATTGCTGTTTTTCTTCGAAGGCATTGTTTACAAATGTATTAGTTTAAAAACCTGTTTTTTAATAACGATTTTACAATTTGTATGCATAAATCTCGATGCCCGGAGTTCAGGCTTACCAAATCTCGCAACAGCGATTTAAGTGGTTTTGCAATTGGTCGGTGGGCGGTTTTTCAAAACCATCAACGATATATGAATACCGGGCTTAAGAATCAATAATATATGGACTTATTCAATTTCTCGTTTTATCCAAGCCTTGTGAACCATATATTTTTTATTTTCTTCCTTTTTCTCTTCTAGATCTATATCCGTAATTGCCAAATCATCATTAGTTAAATTTATAATTTTACTTCAATGTACTTCATTTACTGAAAGCAACGGTTCACCGATCTTAACAATCGGGAAAGGTCGAGCATTTAGAACGGACTGTCTTGAGAATAAGAATACACCATCCGCTGAATCAGACCGAGTAAACAAATATAGCTTATTATAGGCAGGCCATTCATCGAAAATCAATCAACACCTTCGTTAACTCTGTAGCTGTAGTTGCTTAGTGAGGCACGCGATCTTTTAACACAACTCCATTGTGGACATTGTAGCAGGTTAAACTGTTCAGTCCAATTGGAATAACTAACTAACTAACCGCCTTTGCATATGCCCACTCATATCATCTCAGCTAAAATCCCTCTCCC